TAAATCGAATCACGAATCCCGAAAATTAGGTTAAATCCCAGATGCTCAATCCCGAAAATGTGATTAAATCCATTTACATCCCAAATCACGAATCCCGATTAATCCCGAACCCTGAATCCCGAGAATGTGATTAAATCCGAACCCTGAATCCCGCAATTGTGACTAAATCCCGAATCACGCTTCCCGAAAATGCGTTTAAATCCCGAAACTTGAATCCCGAAGATGTGATGAAATCCAAATAGATCCCGAATCACGAATCCCGAGAATGTGTTAAAATCCCGAACCCCGAATCCCGAAAATATGATTATATCCATTCAAACCCCGAATCACGAATCCTGAAAAAGCGATTAAATCCTGAATCCTGAATCCCGAAAACGTGATTAAATCTCAAACCCCGAATCCCGAGAATGTGATTAAATCCCAAATCCCGAAAATGCGATTAAATCCATTTAAGGCCCGAATCACGAATCCCGAAAATGAAATTACATCCCGAATAACGAATCCCGAAAGTGCGAGTAAATCCCGAATCCTTAATCCCGAAAATGTGTTTAATCCATTTAAATCCCGAATCACGAATCCCGAAAAAGCGATAAAACCATGAAACCCGAATCCCGAAAAATGTGATTAAATCCAGAATCACGAATCCCGAGAATGTGTTTAAATCCCGAACCCTGAATCCCGAAAATGTGAGTATATCAATTTGACTCCCGAATCACGAATCCCGAAAAAGCGAATAAATCCCGAGAGCTGAATCCCGAAAATGTGATCCCTAGAGATCGAAAATAGTTTTTCGCCTCGGCCCCAAAGGGGCCAAGGCGCTCAGATCTCTTCTCCAAAGAGAATCTTCGCTTTTGCCGGCCCGCCCCCCCCGCCCCCCACCCATGTCGGCTGGCCCAAAATCCTGTTCGGCGGGCCTTGAAATTTTCGGGGTTCGTCGGCGTCCATCTCCATGGGTCCATTTTTGTCGATTGCTCCTGAAAAGTATGACCTCCTGCTGGCCAGGCCTGTCTGACGTGTCTGAGACTAGGCTCAGGCCCAGCCCAACCAGCAACCCGCCTGCTGGCCAGGCCTGCCAGCCCAGCCCACCCAGCCTCAGGCCCAAGCTTGTCTAGCCCAACCAGCAACTTGCCCAAGCACGGTTCCAAGTCATCCAGCAAGCCCAGCCCAGCCTGCCAGCCCAAACCCCGGTGCAGCACCCAGCCAGGTGTGCCAAGGTCAGGTTTGTCTAACGTGTCTGAGACTGGCCTCATGCCAACGACCAGTCTCACGTGTCTGAGACTGGTCTCAAGCTATGCCAGCTACTAAGCCAACTAGCGTCTAGCCCAGCCCAGTCCGCCTGCTGGCCAGGTCAGGCCCAGCCCAGCCATAGCCCAGCCCCCTCAGTGCGGCTGCCCAGCCCGCCGTAAACTAGCTTCAGGCCCAGCTCAACCAGCAACCCACGCAAGCAAGGGCCAGCCAAGCTGCCCGAGACTAGCTCCAGGCCCAGCGCAGGCTTCCAACCAGGCGAGGCCGGCTTGTCTGACTTGTCTGGGGCCAGCTTCGGGCCCAGCCCAACCAGCAACCCGCGCGAGCAAGCCACAGCCCAGCCATTCAAGACTGGCTTCAGGCCAGCCCAACCAGCCACCCGCCCTAGCCCGCCCTGCCCAGGCCCCAGGCGCACTTCCCCAACCCATCAATTGGCCCAACGTGCCCCAGCCCTTCACTCCGGCTGCCCAAGCAGCGCAGCCCAAGCTGGCCAGCCCTAGTCTGAGCAAGCAACCCACTCAAGCACGGCCTACCCCAGCTCCCCTTCGCTTCGGCCCCCAGCCCACAGCTGTTTGAAGGAACATGTAAGTAGAAGCCAAATGACCACCAGCTACCAACTGCAAAGCTGCTAGGTGAATTCACACGGTAGGTTTTTTGTTGCGGTTCTCATCCTGAAGGACCGAAGGATGTGTGTTTAGATGAATCCTTGCTAAAATGAATATTCTTTATGTCCCCCTGTTGGTTTTACAGGGAAACTATCACTATTGAGGATATTTTTCCGGGGTACTTAAGCAAATGGAGGTTTGTATTCCCACCATGTACCTGTCTTGGGCTGAGCAACCGAGCAAGAAATGTATGTCATGGCAAGCCGCCAGCCCCGTGAAATGGAGGTGCCCAAACACCCAAAGTTGGTCTTGGTTGTTCAGTGACACCAATTATTGTTCCCCTTTTTATGGAGGCCAAGCCCCACTAAAAATGCTCATCCCCAGAAAGAGGTCCTTTTTTTTCCAAGGGCACTGAGCAGCTGAGATAGTCTTCCGAGCAGGACGGCTTCCGAACATCGAACTAGCACGGGCGAACTGGTGCGGTCACAAGCTTTCAGTAGGATTCGGACCTTCCCAACACTGGATTTCGGTGTTCCTGACCCTTCCCTCAAACTAGGCTGGGCCGAGGCGGGCAACGCGAAGCGTTTACAATTAGATTCCCAGGCAGGAACCCCTGCATATACGCATGCGTATCCAAAAAAGATAGATTTTTCAGAATATCTATTAAATATAGAATCCCACAAGCAAACATGTAAACAAAATAGATTCCGTATCTATTTTGGCATCGTATCTTTAAAAACACCTCGTATTCAAAAAATCGTAACTATTTGTATCTAACCGTATCTATTTTCAGCACCGCGTCTCTAAACTGCTTCAGAACATGAGGAGTTGGTCTTGCCTTCCAGGAATTGGTTGCTGATGCTGCGCCCGCAACGCAAGCCTCGCGCAGGCAGATCGCTGCACCATGACAATTCGGACTGAGCCGCGCCTGCTGGCAGGATGTATTTGCAGGCGGCGTCAGCACCATCCGATATCGCGTCAGCTTTGACAAGCTGTGGCCATTGCAGCTGTGACAGAGTTGGTCTGGCCAGCGATGACACAACAAATTCTGATAAGGCTTCCCGGAACTGGCTCAACCCAAGAAGCAGTGACAGACCCGAACACACTAGCAAGTCAACATCCGCCCTCATTTTGAACTACATCTATTTGTTTATTTACATTTGCAAGTTATGACCCTCAATGCATTTGCAAGTTACGCTTCGGCTTTGGATGCCTTCCTACGCAAGTCAAGTGAATGCTGATTGCCAACGCAACAAGGCGAGGTGGCTACCTAACTTACTTGGTGAATCCACATTGAAAACCGTAAGTTAAGCCACCGAGCTATGTCGACTTTTACCTATCATTTGGCTCATGAGCCAGTTTGGTTGGTCATCTAGCCAATCTGCAAACTAGTCAATCAGTTCGCTCATGCTTGAAGGTCGGCGCGGAAGTTTGCAGAGGGTTCAGCCTTTGATGGTTGCAAGAATAGGTGCGGACAGATGCGGATAGATACGGGCAGTTGCAAACTGGATGCCAATAGATACGTGCGCAATGATACCTTTTTAGATATTTCAATAAAATGGATACGCCCAGCTATATTTTTGGATGTTAAAGATACGGGAAATAGATACGGCAGGCAACAAATATTCAATCAAAGCTCAAAAACTTCCGCATGGTCGATATTGTCCAAGGACAAAGCTGGCAAAGGACTGGGTAACGAAAGCGGGAAAAACATGGCCTTGCGCGTAAAGACGGCTCCTCGGAAGACGCGCAGACCTTTGCTTGACAGAAGCTTTTGTTGATCTCCAGACATTAAATGCATTTAAAGCCCGAATCACGAAGCCCGAAAATGTGATTAAATCCCGAATCACGGATCGCAAAAATATGACTAAATCCAGAACCCTGAATCCCGAAAATGTGATTAATTCCGTTGATTTCCCGAATCGCGAATCCCGAAAATGCGATTAAATCCCGAATCCAGAAAATATGATTAAACCCCGAATCCTGAATCCCGAAAATGTGATTAAATCCATTTAAATCCCGAATCACAAATCCCGAAAATGTGAGAAGTCCCAAACCGTGAATCCCGAAATTGCGATTAAATCCCGAATCACGAAAATATGATTAAATTTCGAATCCTGAATCTTGAAAATGTGGTTAACTCCCGAATCACGCTTCCCGAAAATGCGATTAAATCCCGAAACTTGAATCCCGAAGATGTGATGAAATCCAAATACATCCCGAATCACGAATCCCGAGAATGTGTTTAAATCCCGAACCCCGAATCCCGAAAATATGATTATATCCATTCAAACCCCGAATCACGAATCCTGAAAAAGCGATTAAATCCTGAATCCTGAATCCCGAGAATGTGATTAAATCCCGAACCCTGAATCCCGAAAATGCGATTATATCCATTTAAAGCCCGAATCACGAATCCCGAAAATGTGATTAAATCCCGCATCACGAGTCACGAACATGTGATTAATCCCGAACCCTGAATCCCGAAAATGTGATTGAATCCCGAATAACGAATCCTGAAAATGCGAGTACATCCTGAATCCTTAATCCCGAAAGTGCGTTTAAATCCATTTAAATCCCGAATCCCGAATCCCGAAAAAGCAATAAAACCACGAAACCCGAATCCCGAAAATGTGATTCAATCCATTTAAATCCCGAATCCCGAATCCCGAAAATGTGCTTAAATCACGAATCCTGAATCTCGAAAATGTAATTAAATCCATTTCAATCCCGAATCACGAACCCCGACAATGCGATTAAATCCCGAAACATGAATCCCGAGAATGTGATAAATCCCGAATCACGAATCCCGAAAACGTGATTAAATCCAGAACCCTGAATCCCGAAAATCTGATTATCCTCCTTCAATCACAAATCCCGAGAATGTGATTAAATCCCGAACCATGAATCCCGAAAATGCGATTAAATCCATTTAAAGCCCGAATCACGAAAATGCGATTAAATCCCGAACCCGGAATCCGAAAATGTGATTAAATCCATTTAAATCCCGAATCACTATCCCCGAAAATGTGATTAAATCCCGAATCCCGAATCAGGAAAATATGACTAAATCCCGAATCACGACATTGACAGCGACCTCCGGATCGCCACTCCTTCCGCCTTCCTGCGAGGGATTTACTTTCAGCCCGCCTGTCAGCACAAGCCCCTCAGGCTGAGAGAGGCCCAGGTCGCCTCAAACAACCCGGCACAAAAGCAGGTGTGTGGCTTCAAACATGGGAATGTAGAATTGTGTGTTTTTCTCACATTCTTGTATACGTAAGACTGGGCACAGTTTAAAGCACTGAAAGGGCACAAGTTCATGACAAACGCACAACATTGCGCGTGTGTGGCCCTTTACGGTGCGATGACACGCACCCTGCATGTCTTGTTTGGGTTTATGCGGACAAACATCCAAAAACACTGGACCGAAAGCTGTCAGGCGGCTGAGCTCTCCCAACAACTCCCTCACCAAGTGGAGGGCGTAGGACTCGAACTGCGCCTCTAATCTGACCCCGCACCTAGCAATCCCTGCCTCTATGGTTTTCGCATTTTTTCTGGGTGTCCGGATCTCCCAACCTGCGAAAGTGGGCGCGCCCGTGCGGTTGGAAAACTTTCAGTTTTGTGCACCGCTTGCAAAAGGCGTCCGTACCCGCAAGCTGTAAAGGTATGGATGGAAATCTTTCAGGGCCTGCGCGCAGGGAACACTTTTGGCAACAAAGGTCATGAACTGAAGTACAAAAAGGAAGTCCAGGGGGACATCACGTGCACTGAAAGGAAAACCAGCCGGAAAACTTACGACAAATGGCTGTGCCAAAACCTGCATCCAGTCAAAGGAACACCCTCAGCATTCGTTTTCATACCCACCATAATTCCGCACAAACTGTGACGTACAGGTTTACCAGACCCGCCCGTGCCCTTGAGCCAACAGACACTTAAAGTCGGTTTGTTTGCAACTACCTCACAAATAGGTTCCCTCTGGCCTGGCGCTACTAAAGCGAACTGTATTGCATGGATTCGATCTGTTTCTTGCCAGTTTCCTGCTCAAAGGTACGGTGTTAAGATTCATTCATGTGTGTGTCCAAGACACCAAAAATGAAGAAACTATTCTTATTGCGGCGTCCCTTTCAACCAACGAAAATGGCTTCGAGCTTCAGAAAAACAGCTGCAAAAGAAGCCCCTCGCAGTGAATGGCGCCATGAACTGCCAAGGCCTCGCGCCTGCGCAGCCACCGCCACGGCCCGCTGACCCTCCAAGGACTCGCAACAGGCGCGGACCAGACCGGCGGGCATGCGATGGGCGCCTAGCGATGTGTGCAATTTTGCCGTGTGTTCCATTCGGTTGTTGCTTGCTTGATTGATTGCTTGCCTGCTTAGTTGCTTGCCTGCTTAGTTGCTTGCCTTCTTGCTTGCTTGCTTAGCCAGCAGGCAGGCAGGCACGCGAGCAAGCAAGGAAGCACACGCAAGCAGGCAAGCAAGCATGCGCGCAAGCAAGCACAAAAGCAGGCAGACAAGCAAGCAAGCAAGCAAGCAAGCAAGCAAGTGAGCAAGCAAGCAGTCAAGGAGGCAAACAGCTTGATTGTTTGCTTGCTTGCGCGCTTGTTTGCTTGCCTGCCTGCTTGCTTGCCTTGCTTGTTCGCAGGCTTTACCTCCTTGCTTCGCTTGCTTGCCTGCCTGCTTGCTTTCTTGCTTGAGTGCTTGCTTGCTTGCTTGCGCGCATGCGCTCGCTCGCACGCCTGCTTGCTGGCTTGCTTGCTGGCTTGCTTGCTTGCTGGCATGCTTGTGCGCTTGCTAGCGTGATTGCTTGTGTGCTTTCTTGCGCGGTTACTTGCTTGCTTGCTTGCTTGCTGGCACTTGCTTGCTTGCTTGCTTGCTGGCATGCTTGCTTGCTTGCTTGCTTGCTTGCTTGCTTGCTTGCTTGCTTGCTTGCTTGCTTGCTTGCTTGCTTGCTTGCTTGCTTGCTTGCTTGCTTGCTTGCTTGCTTGCTTGCTTGCTTGCTTGCTTGCTTGCTTGCTTGCTTGCTTGCTTGCTTGCTTGCTTGCTTGCTTGCTTGCTTGCTTGCTTGCTTGCTTGCTTGCTTGCTTGCTTGCTTGCTTGCTTGCTTGCGCTCGCTGCTTGCTTGCATGCGCTCGCTCGCCTGCTTGCTTGCTTGCGTGCTTGCTAGCGTGTTTGCTCGCGTGCTTTCTTGCGCGCTTGCGTGATTGCTTGCCTGCTTGCTTGCTTTCTGGCTTAAGAACGCTTGGTTGCGCGCATGCTTGGTTGCGCGCTTGCCTGCGATCGTTGCTTGCTTGCCTCCTTGCTTGCTTGCGTGTTGCTTGCTTGCCTGCCTGCCTGCTTGCTTGCTTGCTTGCGCGCATGCTTGCTTACCTGCCTGCTTGCTTGCTGTCTTGCTGTCTTGCTTGTGCGCAGGCTTGCCTGCTTGCTTGTTCACTTGCTTGCCTGCCTGCCTGCCTGCTTGCTTGCTTTCTTGCTTGAGTGCTTCCTTGCTGGCTTGCTTGCGCGCATGCGCTCGCTCTCGTGCGATTGCTTGCGTGCGCTTTTTCTTGCACGCTTGCTTGATTCCTCGCTTGCTTGCACGCGTTCTTCTTTTCTTGCTCGCCTCCTTGCACGCTTGCTTGCGCACTGGCTTGCGTGCGCGCATGCTTGCCTGCGTGCTTGCTTGCGCACCTGCTGGCACGCTTGCACGCACGCCTGCTTTCTGGCCATACTGCTCGCGACCGCAACTGCAGCGGCTTTTCACTGCCATTTGGGATTCCCGAGGCCATGCTGCATTCTAGCGGGTTTTCGCGAATTTCCATGGTCAAGTGACGGATTTTCACGGCCTTTCCGAAGGATTTTCATGGCCGTTCACAGCAAGCGCGGGCAGACACGGTCAAACTGAATTTTCACGGCTTCACGCCCAAACGGCCTCCGAGCTCGATAACTTAACTGCGATCAAGCAGGTGTGAAGGGCTTGCTTGCTTTCTTGCTTGCTTGGGTGCGTGCTCGCTGGCGCGCGTGCGCTCCTGCTTGCTAGTTTGCTTGCCATCTTGTGTCTTTGCTTTCCTGCTTTGTTTGTTTCTTTCGTTCTTTTCGTTCTGCCGTCCTTTTTGTACTTATTTCTTGCTTGCGTGTTTCTTTGTGTCTTTCTGCGTGTATTTCTGTATCTTCTTTGTTCTTAACTTTCTTTGCTGTGTCTTCCATTCTTTGTTTCATGTCCTTGTCTATGTCATCATTTCTGTTTTTTGTCTTTGTGTTTGTCGTTATGTGTCTTTTGTTGTTCCGTGTTTTTATCCTTAGCTTATGTTGTTTGTCTTTTGCCTTTCTTTCTTTTAGTTCGTTCTGTTTTGCTTATATTTGTCCTCCATTCATGCAATCTTTCTTTGCGTCTTCGTTTCTTCCTTTCTTTCTTTGTTTGTTCGCCTGCCTGCCTGTTCGTACCTTCAACTCGGACTTACTGGTTGGCGGCTTGGCGTGTTAACAACAAATGCGCAAAGGGCTTGTCATCCGCTCTTTGCTTGCCCGAATGCGCCGCAAGAGCATTCGCAAGCGTTCGCAAGCCTCTGCAAGCGTCCTTGCATGGAAATTGTTGCCGACTTTGGGATGCCTGTGAACCGCGACTCAACGAACCTTGGCGGTCGCCGCGCCGGTGTAAGAAGTTTGAGAAGTGCTCCAAAGCGCTGCGCCTGACACGCAAATGACACCAAAAGCTCTCACGCGCTGCGCCTGTACGCCGAGTAAGCTTCCAGAAGCTTAACACCATGCGCGACAGGGCAAAGAAGTTAACACTCGCGTGGGCTTGGCGTGCAGGCTTCGCGTTCATCCAGGAAATGAAAAAATTGTCGTGAATGAATGAACGCATGCACGAACGAATGAATGAACAAATGAATAGAAAGAAAGATATTAATGAATGGGATGAGTGAACTGGATGACTGAACAAATGACTGAATGAGGGAAGAAATGAATGAGTGAATGTGGGGGAAATGAAACGATGCTAGATTTCTAGGAATGAAGTGAATGAAACGAACAAACGAAGTGAATTATTTCAAATATATGAAGTAAAGGACGTGGCTGAAATGACATAAATGCACTCTTGGATGAGTCAAAGATTGAATGCGTGGCTGGGTGTGTACATGTGAGCACGCACTGGTTGGCTTATTGACAAATGAATGAATGAATGCAATGAACACATGAAGGAAGCAAGGAGTGAACGAAATGAATGAATGAATGAATGAATGAATGAATGAATGAATGAATGAATGAATAATGAATGAATGAATGAATGAATGAATGAATGAATGAACGAACGAACGAACGAATGACACTGAATGAATGAATGAATGAATGAATGAATGAATGAATGAATGAATGAATGAATGAATGAATGAATGAATGAATGAATCAATGAATGAATGAATGAATGAATGAATGAATGAATGAATGAATGAATGAATGAATGAATGAATGAATGACATGAATGAATGAATGACACTGAATGAATGAATGACACTGCATGAGTGAATGAAATGAATGAATGAATGAATGAATGAAATGAATGAATGAATGAATGAATGAATGACTGAATGAATGAATGATGAATGAATGAATGATGAATGAATGAATGAATGAATGAATGAATGAATGAATGAATGAATGAATGAATGAATGAATGAATGAATGAATGAATGGAATGAATGAATGAATGAATGACTGAATGAATGAATGATGAATGAATGAATGAATGAATGCATGAATGCATGAATGCATGAATGCATGAATGCATGAATGCATGAATGCATGAATGCATGAATGCATGAATGAATGAATGAATGAATGAATGAATGAATAAATGAATGAAATGGTTGGATGAACGAACGGATTAGAGAAAGTGACTTGGAAAAAGGAAGCATGCGTCCCACGAGGGCCAGAGTTGACAATAGAAGAAATGACATGGAACACAAAAGGACTGTGTGAATGAAAAGCTGGAAGACTGAGTGACTCAATGAATGACAAATTGATTGATTGATTGGTTGGTTGGTTGATTGATTGATTCATGGATTCATTGATTGGTTGGTTGATTTGTTGGTTGGTTGGTTGATTGATTGATTGGTTGATTTGTTGGTTGATTGAATGAATGAATGAATGAATGGAAGAATGAATGAACGAATGAATGAATGAATGAATGACATGACATGACATGACATGACATGACATGACATGACATGACATGACATGACATGACATGAAAGAAAGAAAGAACGAAGGAAGGAATGAATGAATGAAAGAATGGAACGAATCAATGAATGGATGAACGGCTGACTGGCTGAATCAAAGAACGCAGGAATCCAGGAATACAGGAATACACGAAAGCATGAATGAGTGGATGCATGAATGGAATACACTTTCTCAGCTCCAGCTCAGTACGCGGAGCGCGCTTCCGGAGCTCTAGCTCTACAATCGCAATGTTTCAGCACAAGTGCAGCAAGCTCACTGCCCCAGCTCCAGCCCGAAAACCGCAACTTTCAGTACATTACAAGTGCAGTGCACGAAGTACACTTCCCCGCAATCGCAACTTTTCAGCACAGGTACAATAAGCAAGTACAGTTCGCTCGAAAATCGCAACTCTTGAGTAGTTACCTTTCAGCGCAAGTGCATGGATTCTATCATGATGATTTTTCCGCTAAAAGATTTTGGGGTTTGAGCTTCTGATAGTGAAGAAAATGATTTCGAGATTGACGGCCGGGTGCTGGGAGCATGCAGCGTGGGGTGCTGGAGGCGCTGGCAACGGTAGGGGCGCTCGTTTGCCGCTTGGGGCGCTGGCGGCTGTGCGGGCGCATGTTTGCAAGGTTGACAGCTAAAGTGTTGCGAGATTGGCTGCCGTTTGGGTCCTTGCGCTTGAGGCGCTGCTGGCGACGGCATGGGCGCATTTTTGCAAGTTTGACGGTGGGGCGCCAGCGCTGGGGCAGGATAATGCTGTTTGAGGCGCTGGGGAAGGTGCGAGCGCATGCTAGGGGCATGCGGTTTGGGAGGCGGCATAGGCGCATTTAGACTGCTGGGTGCTGGCACGCAATTTGGGGCGCTGGCGCTGGTCTGCCGTTGCGGGCCCCTTTTTGCGAGATCGACGGCCAGGCGCTAAGGGGCATGCAGTTGGGGTTCTGGCGGCGCTGTCAGACGCTGGTCACAGGGTGCTAGGGAGGCGCGGGGGCGCTGATGCAAATGCTGCACTCCAAGGGCAGGAAGCCCCTCAATCAAATCCGCAAGTGTCGCTTACACTTGTGCCGGAGGCAAAAACATTCAAGGTTGCTGTTCTTTCAGTTCCGCACCA